CAAAAATACAACCGAACAAGCCCTAAGAATTTCTTATTCCGTTAGTTTATGAGTTTGAACCACACAACTCAAATAAATGAGTGTTAACAAGTAGTAATATATATTGTATTTTTTACCTTCTCTTTTTTTTTTTGTGCTGATTTTGATTTGAAGCATTGTCTATTGTAACTCGTAAGCAATGTGATTAATCAACTGAAAAGCCCTGAATATTAATTTCATCAAGGGCGCAAACACTTATGCAATCAGTTTTGGCAGCGTGCATTTCTATCATTCTATGTTGGCCTAGAATGTACACAAAAAATGTTCATGAATTAAATATAGTTAACCTAATCTTTTTGAAGCCCCACAGTTTCATATCCGATATTCTATCCGTCCCCAAATGGTTTCCATTAGTTCTTTTTTTTTTTTTAAATAATTGGTTTTCATTATGAGAATGAGAAGCAAACGTAGTATATATATGCGTACGTAGTATATTGATCTGTCATTACTCTTTCAGAAACAAAAAACATAACTAAGTCATAAACTTCAAAAGAAAAAATAATAACAAAAAAGATCACAGGGTTATTAATTAAGATTGTTAATCTGAGCTATAATTAAGCATTGTGTCACTTTGGTGTCATAAAACTATATATTATTCATGATAATGCTCTGTGTTGAAACTTAATTGATTGAAATTAATAAATATGACTAGGTGTCACGGCCATCTACGAGAAATGCTTATATATTAATACAACTTATATAGTTCAATCTTGCATTTAAGTATTCTCTTTTATATATGTAAAATAGTACATCATTCGTCTTATATATGTGAATCATCATGATCACACAATCAAGATTGTTTTAAATTTGTAAAATTAAGTTGTACGTACGTACTCAACAAACCAAAACCATAGGGTAATTTTGATTGGAGATATTAAAACTCTATTTCCGTTGTCAAAGATGAATTAATTATCGTTTGATCCAGAATCCAGATTCGTAGATGTTTCATACACTTCTCTTCTTCTAACTTAACAAAAAGATAGAAAAAAAAAAAAAAGGAAAAAATAAGTAATATGGTATTTCCCAGCTCATCATCTGATTGCTTACTGTTTAATAAATTATTATATGTATTGCTAGCTTGACAGTGATTCATGAATTCATCTTTTTGGAAAGAGAAATTGCATTACAAAACATACAAACACTAATACGGAGTTGAATTATCTCAAAACACAAGAAAATCTAACCCTGGTGATTAACCAATTCTATTATAATAAATTCGAATGAAATACTTTAAATTAAAAAAAATTGGAAAAAAAAACTTTAAAAAAAAAAAAAAAAAAAGCGCGTACTAAGTTGTACAACGAAAACCCAAATAAGTACACCGAATTTCCAGCTCACATATAATTCTTTTATTATAGTTAATTGGTGTTTGTATTATTTTTTCATGTTTTGAAATACATTTTCTTAGGGAAAAAAAACCGATTTAACCAAAACATATATCGCCGTATAGATGTATATGGCTAGTGCAAACAATATATATTAATAATTATTTTTCGCTTCATCACTGCTTAAATTGCACATATAATTTATTTATTTGAGGTAACAAACGCAAAGAGCTTTTAATGTTTAGGGCAAAAATATCAAAACAAAAAAAGAAAAAAAAAGTTGCATGGCGACTAAATTGACAAAACAGCCATGGTCCGGCGCAGCTTACTTAATTTGGCACCCATGCATGCACATTCTCATTCGCATCTTGCTTAAATCCCAACCAAACAAACCATCGATGTATTTTCTTCATTATCCATAAGCCATTTCAAATTCCTCTAAATATTAACGCATGAAACTCACACTATAAATACTATTAGGTTTAGGTTTAGTTCACTGATTCAAATTTTTAATTCGAGTTGAGATGTGACTTTTTTAAAAGTTTTTTACAGTAATAAAATTCGAATTCTAAACTCGAATCGGTGAAATAAACGAAACCGAAGCCTATAAAACCTCTTCAACTTCCCTCCACCAAACTCTTGACCCAATAAAATTAGTTATAACACATTCATTTCAAACCCCAACTTCACATCATCTTTGTTTCTAGTACAAAATGGCCATAATTTCCAAAACCAATTTCCTCTCCATTATATTCCTTTCCGTCCTCTTCGTCATTTCTTCAAGCCCAACTCTAATCTATGCTTCAAGTTCAAACTCCACAAGTACTACTTTCGGAGCGAAACCCGACGGCTTGATCGACTCGACGGAGAGCTTCCTCGGTGCATGGGGCAGCGGCATGTGCCTCGGCGAGTGTCGCGGTGATATTCGTGCCAAGAGGAAGGTTTTTACTTCGTTCTTTGGTGTTCAAAGGGGGAATGTAAAAGCCCTAAGATTGGTATCAAAATTAATGGGACGCTGGTGGAAATGACAAGTGGAATATTAGCTTTGAAGGAGTTACCGGTGTTTCTCTTGTTGGAGGGAAGCTTGATGCCCGAGGATCCGCCTTGTGGGCTTGTAAATTGGCCGCCGGTGGAGGCGCCAACTGTCCCGGTGGAGCTACCGTCAGTGAATTAAATTCCATAATATTCTTATAACTATAGTACATGAAACTATGTCATCAAATTCATTAAAAAAGAAAAATATGTCGTCAAATTTTTAAAATTATTCTTATATATGACTTTGATAATAATCCTGGAAGAGATAATATATTACTAACGTGCACGTTTAAGGAGTTAAGGTCATCGCCGACGGCATCCACGTCCGACTCTCAACCAATGTCGTCATCAAGGATTCCACCATCAGAACCGGTGACGACTGCGTCTCCATCGGCCCTGGTACTAAGAACTTGTGGATTGAACATGTTACGTGTGGGCCCGGCCATGGCATTAGGTCAGTTCTAGCTGATCATTTTTTTTTTTTTTTAGTTACGTGCGCTTGAAAATTATCTTTTGGGATTGTGATTTCAAACGTTATTAGATGACAAAGCTAATAATTTTAGTATAATACATGAACTTTTTAAGGTTATAAAATGTCAGAAAGAGCTCTTTATCAACTATCAGTTATGGTATTACTAATGTATGGCAATAAAGTTTCACATAAACTGTTTGGTCTTTTTTTAACGAACTTTGATTGTACTCGATTTTTATGTGTCGATCGGGGTTTTTTTTCCTTTAGTATCGGTGTTAGTTTTCGTCATTGTACTATCAGTGTTTTTACTAGTAGATCCAGTCGTAGGGATCGAATTCTATTATATTCGGGGTCATGTGCGTCTTTATATCGAGTATGTATTTCCTTCTTTTTAGTAATGAAATTTCCTTTTATTAAAAAAATATGAGATTTTTTGGTACGCTTAGCATACCGGTAGGTCAGGTTTTTCTAACCGTTAGATATGCATATATTTTTTTTATTTTTACGTGATTTTATACATATCCAACGGACATAAAACTTAACTTACCAGTATGTTAACGTACCGGAAAAAGTCCCAATTAACATCTGGTGACTCTTCAAATTCATTCCTTAGCTTAGTTAGATGTTGATACGATATGAGTGTCTATAAAGTGACATTAGACAATCAAACATGCATATAAATATATATATAGAGAGAGAGGTGTGGGAGAATAGATAAGCCAAATGGAGAAATTATGATCATTGCTCTCCTGTATTTGAAGTAAAAAAAGAATTGATTAATGTGAACCGTTGGATTAATTAGAAGTTGAAGAACAAAATTATTTCAATCTCATTCTCCCTTCTATGTATATAGATATAGATTATAGATATACGCATATATTTATGTGCGTGTTTGTTCTGTACATATATTTAAATGTTAGCTTATATATAAGTGGTCCGTTGCAGCATAGGAAGCCTGGCCAAAGAGCTGGAAGAGCAAGGAGTTCAAAATGTAACGGTAAAAAATGCAATTTTCATTGGTACTCAGAAGGGGCCAAGGATAAAGGCATGGGCCAAGCCCAGCAATGGATTCGTCCAAGGAGTCCAATTTATGGATGTTACAATGCGAAATGTCCAAAATCGTATTGTAATAGATCAAAATTACTGTCCTCGCAACATCGATTGCCCTGGTCGGGTAAGACATCCCATTTAGCCATTTTCAATTCTTTCGATTCTTTCCTTAATTAAAAAAAAATGTGTAACTAGCGTAATTATTCGAAGCATTTTATTTTTGAAATTTTTTAAGAATGCCGTGAAAAGAAAATATTATTTTATTTCTGCCATCAATTTCAAATTAATATTTAATATTTTTCATACTGTCTTGAAATACGATGAGATAAATAATAAAATGATAAAAAATAATAATTATTCTTATAATTTTCTCAATGGTCATATTTTGAATAGGTATCGGGCATCAAGATTAGCGATGTAGTATACACGGGTATTCGAGGAACATCAGCCACGCCAGTTGCCATAAAATTTGACTGCAGTTCAGCAAATCCATGTACAGGAATTAAACTACAATATGTTAATCTAAATTGTGTGGATCAAGCAGCTGAGTATTGGTACATGGAAAAGCATTTGGAATTGTTCGACCAAATAATAGTTTCTGATCACAAGAAAATGCATAACGTGGTATATGTCAATCACGTGTGCAAAAATTGTTACTAGCTAATGGTATCATCGACATATTACAATTCTTTTTACTATATTCAAAGCAAACATATAAACAATATTTATGTTTTCGCAGAGACAAATCTTATTATGCAAAGAAAATTTACAACAATGTTGTGTGAGCATCATTATGCGTATATACCACATATTTATGTATCTTTGGCTGAAGATATCCAGAAGATGAACGATTGTAGTAAATACACCAGAATTCAACAACTTTCTACTCAAATGAATCAAATTTCTTTCGGGAGGTTCTGGAATACAGAAAAGGACCAAAAACGATCACAAAAACGACTACAATGACTAAGAATCTATAAGAGAGGAGACCGGTTTCTAACAAAGGTCAGATAAAAGAGAACAACAAAAATTTGTAAAAAGAAAGAAAGAGAAAAAAAAAAAAAAAAAAAGGAGCAGTGATCTATATCTATAATGCTAAATATTTGTAGTGATAAATAAAGTGCTCTTACAAGATGGAAGAAAGCTACCTTTTAGCATGCAACCTAAACAAAGATTCAAAAGTCACTAACTGATGATCCACATAATTCCTAGTATCCCATTAACTAATGAACAAACAATTGCTAATTTCATCTTATCTCGCTAGCAAGTAGCAACCATTTTGTTTTCTCTGCTTTGATTGCTCCGGCAATAAAGAAATCTTCAAAAACCACAAAAATATGTTACCCCATAGCCTCCGCAGGTTGCCTATCGATCACTATTGTTGGACTCCAGCAACTGAGATTTGTGATCAAACCCGAATATGCAAATCATTACATGTTCAAGAAGCTGCTTGCAAGAGCTAAGTCAAGAATTTTCTATAGCATCCAAAGCCACCCTCAACTTCCGTGCGATGTTTATCGATTCTACAAGGTACTAACAAAAACGAAAGACAATGAGGTTAGTCATGGGGGTGAATTTGGTAGGTTTTAAGTGATCCCCTACCACCCAATCACTCAACTCACGTATGTACCACAAATCAGCTATAGTTTTCAGTTTTGAGTTCTATGCTTAATTATTTGTTTAGAGATAATGCAAAAACTCCATAGTGACTGGCATAAATAAGTATATATATTACAGGCATACATACAAGTGTACAAACGAGATATCATCATGCAGATAAATATGAAAGTTCACCGTGCTGCTAGTGATGTTCATATTCAGAATCACACAGAAAATAGAATCCCCGACACGTTTGAGTCATAGTATGCAAATAAGATAATGTAGATGCTATGACAAGACTTTATCAAGCCCTAGGATGTGTAAATTCCTGCTCCAGAATTCCCTCAGTTACAGCATTAGAATAGCCAAAGTTGCCTCTCATTAACATCTTATAATAGTTATGATGATAAGAATACACATTTTCATTGTGCGTCTATTTAAAACATTTACACGCGTGATGATTATACAAAAAATATGTAAAATCTCGTTCTTCCTAATATGGTTTCGAGCAATATGATATCCAGTAGACAATTAATTTCTAGCGACAATGGTGTACCTCCGAATGACCTTGACGGTAGATCTCTAATTTGTGAGAGCCTCCAAATGTAGAATTCGGTGGGTGAGTGTTAAACATCTACCTAAAAATCCCAATAAAATAGGGTGAGACTATATTCTAGTTCACATAAAGCTTCCAAGGTCAAGCCCAAAAACTCAGGTCTCTGTCAGATACGGATACATATTTCAAACATATTGTAAAAGAAAGACTACACTGCGAAGGAGTTTATCAAATGAATTTCAAAGCAAGTGATCATTCCAAAGAACTAAAATAAACAGAAAATTAAATCCTTTGTTTTAAAAAAATTACATCCTAAGCAAAGATAGTAGATCAAACCAGTCCGTTCTAGATTGGTGAATAGAAATGAAGAGAACAAGTGATCATTCCATGGGTACAAAGCAGTAAACGAAAAGATAGACTATAAGATAGAGAATGCAAGATTTACTTGAGATAGTGATGAAGACAATCGGTATATCATTAGAAAAGTCTTCCTGAGAAGAAAGAAGCTTCATCCAGCACATAAGCCGAGTCTTGGGAAAGATTTATCGAGTTTTGCCAACAGCTCATTGCTTAAAATGTTTTTTCCTTTTGATGCTTCTTGCGAAAAAGTTGGGAGAATCTCCATGACATCAACGTCTTCAGAGCAGTGACAAATGCACATCAAGATAGTATTAGTAAGTACTTGGTCTAGAGCAACACCCTTATGGGGGAGAATTTCCATGACATCAACGTCTTCGGAGCAGTGACAAACGCACATCAAGATAGTATTAGTAAGTACTTGGTCTAGAGCAACACCCTTATTAGCAATTTGATGAAACAGATCGATGATTTCTTTTGTTTCACCCTTTGAATAGTAACCTTTTAACAAAGAATCATACACAAAGGCATCAGGCTTTAAACCAGAAGAAACCATCTTCTCAAGAACCCTCTTAGCATCATCCAAAAGCCCAAGTTTTGAAAATCTGTTTATTATTGTGGAATAGGTGAAAGTATCCGGTTCTAATCCCGAATTCAGCATTTCCATAACCAATTCTCTGCCAGAACTGATATCCCCTTCTCTAAGAGTAGCATCGATCAGCGTATTATAAGAGACAATGTTGGGTCCCTGATTTGAGTTCCTCATTTCCTGAAGCAACTTCCTAGCTTGCTCCAAACTGCCTTCAATACATAAGGATGCCATTATTGTGTTGTAGTCAATAGCACTAGGAATGATCCCAGAAGCTCTCATCTTACAAACAAGTCCTTTGGCAATACTGAGAAAACGCATCATGCAAAATCCATTAATCATAACACTATATGTAACCGCATTTGGAACTAGTCCAATATCCAGCATGTGTTTTCTGAATTCCATTGCTTTGTTCATCATTCCCATTTGTAAAGAAGCCCCGATCAAAGTATTATAGGTTACCAGGTTACCTACTAAACCCCTTCTAACCATCATATCATAGATTTCCACGGCCTCATTCACCCGGCCTTCCTTGCACAGACCCATTATTATCATGTTAAATGTGATGACGTCCAACGCAACAGAGTTTTCATCCTTTGATATAGAACCAAAAAGTTTTATTGCCTCATCAACCCTCTCATCCAAACAAAGTCCCATGAGTAACGTGTTGTAAGTAACCACATCAGGCTTCAACCCTTTCTCCACCATCATTTCCACAATTTTAAAAGCATCGCCTATCAGCCCTTCCTTGCACAATCCATTAATCATAACATTGCAAGTAACAGTAGTAGGCTCTTCACCACTCTCTAGAATCACATCGAAAATCTCCTTGGCTTTTGCAGCCTTTTCGCCCTTGAAAAGCCCATCAAGTAAACTGGTGTAAGTTACAACATCAGGCTTAACTCCACGTCGCGTCATTTCGTTCAACATCTCGGTGGCTTCTATCAATTTCCCCATTTTACAAAGCTGGTGAATTAAACCACTATAGGTAACTACATTAGGAGCAATCCCCTTTCGAAGCATCTCATCAAAGAGCTTGTATCCTCTATCGAAATTCCCTTCATTGCAAAAACCACTTATAAGCGTAGTATATGCGACAACGTCAGCTTCCAAATCAAATTCTATCATCTCCTTCAACAAATCGAACGCCTCGTCCGCTCGACCATCTCTAACAAAACCATCCATCAAGATGGTGTAGGTCACCAAATTCGGGGGACAACCCGAAACCTCCATCTGAACTAACAATTCCAATGCTTCCTTCAACTTTTTAACCTTGCAAAGGCCATTTATAATCAAGTTATAACTCGCAACGTCCGGTGGCAAACTATAGTAACTGCGCATTACATCAAAAAACTCCCTTGCCATTTCAACTTCACCATTTCGACAAAAACCCTTCAACACAAGATTCCTAACAAGCGCATTAGCCTTATAACCACGCTTCAAAACCAACCCCAAAACCCCCAGCGCAAATTTTGGCTTGCGGGCATCAACAAAACAAGCAATTAAACAACTCAACGATATAAAATTGGGAAAAATACGAAGATGGGTCATTTTTTCATAAACAGAAAAAGATAAATCATAGTTCCGAGACCTTGTAAGTGCGTGAACAAGGAAATTGCAGGTCGAAGCAGAAACGAACCTTTCGGATTCAATGGCACGGTTAAAAAGCGAAAACGCCTCGGAAAATTGGGAATTGGGTTTTTCACATAGAGAGCGTAATTGGATTTCCAAATCCAAAGGAGAAGAAGAAGAATATGAAGAGAATAGCTTGAAATAAGAGTTGGGTCGAGGACTGTGAAGTGCTTTTCTAATCATTTTTCTGCGTTTGTAATGAAAATTTGTAGTTAAGTTTATGACTTTCTAGACAGAAACCAAACAAAAAAATTGAATTTGAAGGAGAAAAAGAGTAATTGAAGATTTTGTGTCTACCTTCTTTTGTTGAGCGAAGCTGATGAAGCGAATAAGCGGCTGCTTTTCTCTGGCCTCGGGGCTTTTCCCTGTCCTCGGGGGACTTTTTGAACACCACTGCACATTTAAAAGAGTTAATTTCAATAATAGCAATAAATGATTATTAATTTTAGTATTATTTTTATATATTTTTACAATTAGTTTTACTATGTGAGTAAAAGTAAGACTGGGGTCATTTGATTAGGAGATTCGTTCCCTGATTCGAATCATAATTCGTAGTTTGTTACAGTATTTTTTTTCACAAAAAATACACGTAAATCAAAAATGATTCTAATCACATGGTTCTAATCCATGAACCAAACGTCTCCTAAATCATTTTTATTTGAATTAAAATTTCAGTTTTAAAATCTTAAATATATATTATGAAGCCTTTTATAATTTAAATATTCAAAGTAGAGAGAGGAGGAGAACGAACACGGGTGTGCGCATAGACTAAGAAACCCCAACGACCACCACCGTCTACCACCATGAGCACTGACGAACTCACGACAGTGAAAACCACGACAGCGAGAACCCACGTAATCACGCGACGAGAACCGATGAACCTTCGCCGGAGAAATCAACGCCTAAACTTCTTCGTCAGAGAAGAACGAACCGAGGAATCCTCACCCTCTTCGCCAAAAAAATCAGCCATGAAATAGACGAGGTCAATGGCGGATTTTGAGACAAAAGTGAAAACGTTGTTGGCTTTTCTTATTATTATTATTTTTTTTTTTTGCTTAGGTATTTTTTTTTCTTTTACCATTTTCTGTCATCTTAGAAGAAAATAAAGGCTTTGGAGGAGGAGATAAAAGCATATAAGGTCAGTTATTTAAAATTTTTTGGGGTCATTGGATTGTCATTATGCTCCTTATTTGGTCTGTGACTATGCCTGATGGCCGGTCATATCATTATGACCGCTTGATAATTTTATTATGACCGATCATAAGACAAACACATCATGCGATCATAGTAATATGACCAACGGTCATAATTACTATGACCGCCCATTAGACAGGCAGACGCATAGGTCGATTGCTTGACTGATGAGCCTACGGTCATAGCATTATGACCCTCGGTCATAGTAATGTGATTGCATAATTGTCAGGCTCATAATGCGACTGCATGACTAATGAGTCTGTGGTCATAGCATTATGACCCTAGATCATAGTAATATGACCGCACAATTGTCGGATTCTTAGTGTGTCAGTCATAGTATTTTTTTTTTATGGGCGGTCATTAGTCATAACACTTATAACCGTCAGTCATAGTACTATGACCGAACAATTGTCGGACTCTTAATGTGTTAGTCATAGTACATTAATTAACAACTTTATTTGCTTTCTTATTTTTTTTGTATTTATTGTTTTTTTACCAATTTTTGTCATCTTAGAAGAAAAAAAAAAGACTTTGGAGGTAGAATGTGACATCATAGTCAGACGATATCTTCACAGGAGCTTCATCATCTTTAACAACATAACTTAAGAATAAATTTTTTTCCTTGTGGTCGAATCCCAAGCACATTTCTCACCAAATCTATAAGACCAATATAAGTTGTGTTGATGGGGACCAATATCCCCTTCATTTCACAACCGACGTATCTCGAAGCACGATCCCAATGTCCATTGTACTTGATGAAGACGTTCAATCCAGCATCTATTCCTAAATAATTTCAAAAACAATAACTGTTAGTCAACATGCAATTACTTTTAATCGGCATAGAGTCATTAGAAATGGTCAATCATAACACTGTGTAATGGTCGGTCATAAGACAGTCATAGTGTGCTAGTCATAACATTATGGGTCATTTCAGTCATAATATTATGACAGTCCGGTCACATCACTATAACTGCCTTATGGACAGTCATAATACTATGACCGGCCATTTTGACTCAAACGGTTATAATTTGACTCATAAGCAATGACTCATACTGTTATGACTGATTGGTCATAGTATTATGACGAACATATAACACTATTAGTCACAATACTATGACTCCCAAGGTTAACTATGTCTTTGACGTAGTTGTCGTTACAATCAATTTACATATCAATTATAAACCATCCAAAATCTCAAATTGACGAAGGATAGTATCAATTCCTATCACATTAAGTTCAACCCAGTATTTTTTTCTAGTTATATGTACTAACTCTCTCGAAAAATAAATTTAAAAGAAAAAAACAAAAGAAAAACAAAAAAATTGTGTACCAACCTCGATCTGGTGCACAACCAGAGTATTGGCGACGACGAAATGAAGGCGTAGGGAAGAGAGAGACTGAGTAGAGATAGAGGCCAAACTTGAGAGAGAGAAAGAAAGAGAGCTGAAAATGGGGTGTAGAGAGAGAGAGAATGGGCATGAGAGAGTTGAGAGTCTCTTTAAGGTGCTTTTAAATTATAATTTTGACCTAAGTGACATAGAAGTCATTTTACCTCACACTGCTACATGACAATACTAATTGTGAAAGTATACAAAAATTATGCTACAACTAATAATAATTTATTCATGAGAGCTATTATTGAAATTAACCCTTTATACCCCTTATTAAAAAAAATTAATTAATTAACCATTTTCTTTTTCATTCATTATTTATATACTAAACAACTAAAAACCCCCATGTCAAAATAGTTGTGAAAGATATTTTTTTTAAAAAATAATAATATTTTACGTATTTTACTCAATTTGTATAATTTTAGCAATTTATTATCTAAACTTTTAATTATGACTAGTTAAAATACGCACTACGCGCGTGAGTATTAACGGTCCGTTTAGTTCATTGATTCGAGTTTTTAATGTAACTTTATGTAATAACTTTTTACTACAGTAAAAAAGTTAGATGTGACTGTTTTTGAGAACTTTTTGCTGTAGTTAAACTCAAATCGGTGAAATGAACAGGACCTAAGTATGTTATATTTTTTACCCATATAATTAGAAAAAAGAAATATTAGCAACATCAAAAATTTAGACAAGCACATATTTAAATTTATTTAAATGAGAGCATAATAAGGGGTAAAGTTCAATAAGGCACAATTAGAAAACACAATATTTAAAATAAATAAATAAAATAAAAGGATCAAATGCACGTTTTAAATTAGACAAATGTATTTCAATAAGTCATGGTTATAAACATATATCTTTTTTAAAAAAGACAAATGAAACATGTATGTTTCATCTTATGTTTTGTCCGTCCCTATTTAAAAACTCATTCACACTTTGTGAATGAAATACAAAAAAAAAGTTGTACTGCTAAAGGCAATAGTGGGGAAAAAAAGGCAATATGTAGGAGAAAAAAACAAAGAAAGAGAAGAAAAATGTAAAAAAGTCTAAAAATGAAAAAATAGAAAGAAAAATCGAGAGAATCAAAAAACATAATTAAAAAAAAGTTGAAGTCAACATGTGGCTTTCATAAAGGTTAACATATGGCATTTTTAGAAGCCAACTCTTTGACACTCTTAAGTGTGTAATATATAGATAAATTATCCTCTTTATTTGTAAAATTATTTCAATATGTCATATTTTATAAATGATTGTATTAAATTAGTGTCAAAAAACAAGTTTGATGAAAAATGTTATTAATTATTATTATTATTATTATTTTATAATAAACACAAAAAAAAGAAAATCTTTCGAAAAAGAAAATCAAATGACCGGTATGACTGATACACTTTATGTAACACCTATTTACAAACGTCACATGATTCGTTACTTGCTTCGTTAACTTCAACAATTTTAATAGAAATAGAAAATAAACTCAAACATGTATATAAATCCCAGAAAAATAATGTAATAATTTTTTTTCTAAATAAAAAACGAACCGTTATCCATAAATGACAAGTCCCAAAAGTCTAAAGAACAATCATCTAATTAGATAAAGTATGTGAAGAAAACATAATTACTTAGAGTATGTTTGGTAGGAAAGAAAAGTAGAAGGAAGGGAGAAGGTCCAGAGATTTTGGGAGGGAAAATAGAAATGCAGGTTGTTTGGTAGGAGGAAAAAGAGAAAGGAAGAGAAAATGGAGTGAAAAATAGTACATGTGGGTCCCACCATTTTTCTTCTTTCCACAAATGGGATGAAAAATAGGGACAACTAATTAAAGTAGGTAAAATTACTAAACTACCCTTTCTCTATCAACATCCAAGCAACAAATTTAAGGGTATAAAAGTAATTTATAAGTAAAATTTTCTCTTTCCTCCTAATTTAACTTCCAATACCAAACAAGTAAAGGTAAGTTCATTTTCTTTCCATCTTCTCATACCAAACAACATAAAAGAAAATTAATTTCATTTCTATCATTACTATTTTCCATTACTTTCATATTTCCTTTTTATCATATTTTCTTTCCTTCATACCAAACATAGAACCTAAAAAAAAGAAGTTTAGCAATAACTGAAGTCTCAAAATCAAAAGTGCGGAATATAATTAAATAAAGCTCATTAAAAATTACACATCATCGATGGCGTCTTTCCGTTTTCAATTCAACGTTCCATGCGCACCCACCCGTTCTCACCCTCCATCCTAAACTTCTTGCATCTTACCCTTATCTGCAACATGATATAATTCTTAAGTAAGCAAAAGCTTATTAAGTATACTTCCTTATCTCACAAAAATTTAATTTGAGTTTTCAATGAAAATATAACATAATCATCATCAAAGTAGTGCACGAGGCACACATTTATATATATAACATATCTTTTCTTTAAATTTTAACATTAACACATTATTCATTTTATCTTTAGGGACCTAAGTGTTGTACCATTAACATCGTTGGTATGCCGTCATGAGAGGAATGTGGTAGCTAATCCCAAACAAAACATGACAAGTCAACTTAGCAGGATAGTCCTAGCGGAACATCATAAACATAAACATATGGAGTGCAACGCTTCATTAAGTAATACATATATAGATATATAAGTTTTTTTTTTTAAACTTGTCATAAATAGTAAAATCTTAATCATGAAAACAGCCTTGTGATATTCATCATAAGAAGGTCTTGAAAGAAGAACATATTGTTCATAAACCTTTAATCATAAAACATTCCTTA